TCTCTGATCGATACAACCACCAAATGAATAGCTCGTTTTGATAAAAGCTCTCCGTATTAACACAAAATCCGCTCCACATAAATTAAGGGAAGCTGGGAAAAAGGAATTCCCTAGGGTCGGCGATGCAATTGAAAATTGTGGTCAGTTTACTTGATCAAAAACACAAAACTGTAGGAACGAAGGGGGCGAGGGGAAGGAGGGCGAGTGCGAAAAGGGAGGGGAAAAAATGATGGACAGACGCTGTCCATCGCTACGAGAAGCGCACCGATTTAAGGGAACACTAAAAGAGAAAGATTTACAGGAGAAAAAACAAGGAGCGCATGGTGTCGGGTGTGTACTGATCCAAAATAGCAAGACACTCGCGCAATGCAACACTTCCAGAAGCGAGAAATATTGAAAGGATACAATTAAACATATAAGCTGCCAACATGAAATGCATTAAGCTGACCAAAATACAGGCTCATAAATAATACTCGATAAGCAAGGCGACAATAACGACGACAATTGGACGATATGCAGCGAGCAACCCCCGATAACGATCTCTCAGGATGGACCCGGTATACATCATGCGAGAATGCCACAGTCCGGAGTTGTCGGACAACGCTATCTCAGTCGTAAAGTTCGTTGTAAGATAAGTATTTCAAAAATTTTATGAAATTTTGCAAGCAGAAGAAGAAAAACTCAAGTCCCGAATTCAAGCTACGAGAAGACAGGCAGCAAGACGGAAAATGATAAGTAGCTTGCCAATATGAGCTTCTGCAATTACAAAAATATGCAAAAATGCATAAAAAGATATACTGGTAAAAAAATTGTTCAGCTTCGGTAAATTAATCAATACACTGTTGTGCCGTACGTTGTAGAATGTGCACCCATCACTGTGAATCTGCAATGCGCTGACAATCAGAATAGGCCAGATACTGTTCCCTTCAAAATCAAAACCAGTTTTATGACAATAATTTTTAACAAATACGTATATAAATACAGCGGGAAAGAGGGAAATACAGGCTGGGGGAGTGGAGACACCACTATTCAGTGGCACGAGTCTGGAAATTACGCTCAAACAATGTTTTATCGCCTCGCAATTCTGCGTCATCGATGTAGCAACCAGCCCATATCACGGCTTCTGTAGCTGAAATACGCTAGCTGCAACTCTGTATCTTTCAAGCGATCCTGTAGTCTGCGCGTTCGAGAGAAGGGCTAGATGCAGTTAGGTTTCCTCGACCGTTTGTATAATTCCCAATTCATCTGCGCTCAGCGGCCGCAGAAATTACCCGCAAAAGATGTGTCCGGAGTTCGTCGCATACGAAATTATACTTATTGTCATATGTGTTTTAATTTAATGGCATGAAACAATCCTGTTCATCAAATTTTTTAATATAATTTTATATAACTTTATACTTCTCATACATATTACAACTAAATACAGCTTTTTTTTGCTGAAAATGTTTTAGAGATTTTAGTAAACTTAAAAAATATAGCATGAAATTGAAATTAAACAGCTAAACAGGAATGTTTCGGTCCTTGACATCGTATACATTTCTGTTGGGAACCACAACTGCACTTCATCAGCATGACAGTTGCAGTGTCAAATGATTCTGTTGAAAATATCACTGTAAGCCATGGGAAAAACCAGAAAGATCATAAAAACCAGAAAGACCATAAAAACCAGAAATTTCTTCAAACAAAACTAACAATAATTATTTTTTTATTCTTTTATTTTTTTTATATTTTATTTCTTTTTTATTTTATTTTTTTCTATTTTTTTATCATAGTTGTGATACAATCACAACGCAATTCAAACGCCCTTTACACCGAGTTTCACAATCCCTTTCGCTAGCAGGTATTATTAGAGTTGTGTGTCGGTGCTGCCAAAAAAGACAAAAATTCAGGTGGCAATTGCTCCGTCATACGTTCGTGATAACATATTTCTGATAACGATGAGAAAATTGATAGGAGCTCGACAGCCAAGCGCGATAGCGTAACCAAATTACAACACGAAAGAAAAATTTAAAAAAACTAAACTGGTTTTTAATCCCTGAATCGCGCTGCTCGTAGATGAAAATTAGAGTCACAAAACGCAAACAGTAGTCGATTTCACAGTTTTTCCAATCCGTTCTCAGATGCATACAAAAGATCCTCGACAGAAAACTAGTCAATGAACCAGAATTTTAAAATCTCTCTTTTTTCATGCTTATTATATCAGTTAATCAAACGCAAACGCTGATGCTGAAATTCCGATTTCCTTGAAGTAAATCACGACTACGAAAAAACCAGATGAAAGGGTTCCTACTGCTTCCCCTTCGCCCTCTTTCACGGCTCTAATCTAATTTATTTCAAGTTATATAGTAGGAATGCTAATTAATAAAAAATGACGAAAAACTTCGAGAAAATAAAGAGTGAGAAATAAACTTTTAGAAGAGATTTTCCGTGTCTCCTACTCATCCCATGCAACCCTCGGCACTGAGTGAAAGTGCAAAAAAAGAATTCGTAGATTTCAGAGAAAAGCAATGTTAAGTTATATTCATGATGAAAGACTTCAATCTTTGCAATGAACAGAATACTTTAAATATTCTAAAGATACCTATGAAACTGATTTAAAAAGAATTAATCTTGAGCAGCGATCCTGAGAGGATCACTGTTGTAGAACTTACAATCTGCTGCATTTTCAAAGGTAAATCCTAATGTCACAAGAATCCGTGGGAGCTTAATTCAGTACCAAGTTAGGCTAAATTTGAATTTTTGCAAAACTGTGCAAATCAGACCAAAACTTACAATTATCATAGCTCATGACGCAACTTTAATTTTAGAAGGTTGTTGAACATTGAGAGGCTTTTTAAAAAAACCTTCGGGTCAACTCATCACTATTAAATTTATCGCTTGCACAAATACCAGCAGCATTTCCTCTGAATGTTGCAGAATTTTATTCAAAATTTGAATATCATTATCCCTACCAATGATGAGTAGTTACAAGATTTTGTAGCAAAGAGCTGTTCGACCGTAAATGTGTTCGGACTTGAAAAAAACATAAAAATTCGAAAATTTCCTCAGATTTTCAGTGACAACTGAATCCTCGCTCTAACTTACAGATCATACTTAATCGAAAAATCTTTACAGTAGGTAAATTCAATGAATCTCCTTTAATTACGAATGAGAATTCGCTAACGCTCAGCTGAATAATCTAACATGAGCTTTCACAGAAGAAAATGAAAGGAATTACATTGGAATAGTTGAGGAAGCAGATATGGGCTGTCCGTAAAACCAATTCTACTGCTCCAGCCGTTGATAGGTCGGCCGCTATAAGCAAAAAACAGAGGTTCCTTATAACCTTTTCACCGGTAATCTTGAATAATTATTTCGTACGGTGAATTAAGTACCAATGGTAAACAGTTGTACCATTTACACTTCTCCCATGATATAGTTCTCAATGCGAGTAACGCTTATGTAATGAACGGATAAAGAAATATGCCCAAAAATCGAAGCATTAAAAAAGAAGGCCACGCAAACTACTCGTGTGCCAGCAACTACAGGTAGACAGAGTTGAACTGGAAGAAGTTCACAGCTACACCGAGTCTGGCAGCAAGCAGATATGCGCCGCAATCGCCAGACGGAGAGGCACTGAAGGATTAAACGGTATTTGAAGTGTGTTCAAAATTAGTACACAACAAAATTCAGACGATCAAAGTGGTGCGAAACCAGTAGTAAACATGCGTGCAAGTTTTCTAGCCATGGCAAGCCCAAAACGTAGAGATTTCTTCATTATACAGCAATGTCAGATCAAGTGATTCAGTTCCCAGTACACATCTGTCCCAAGTATTTTTGTTCGGATCAATCAATTAGAAAAAGAAGTCTGTTCAAAACGCTAAAAATGAAAAATTTTTGAATACATTTCTTCACAGAGAAGCAAACTGCATGAGTAAAACGGGCATGCGTGACTGACCGCGCGAAAATTTTTGCCTAAAACAGCGTTTTTAGCTAAATTAGTACCTCAGCTGTGCTCAGCACCATCCTCGTTTTCAACAATTTGTGCCAGCTGATAATGCTGCTTTCGGAGCTGTGCCAGATGCGCCCTTTCACGTGTTAATTTGTCTTCCAGTTCTAGCACACGTACCTGACTCTCCATCTCTTGCTTCTTGGTATCATGGAGGGAGTAGTGGCTGAAGTCGAGGTCTTCTGAAAACCCGTTCCATTCATTCAAAGCATGCTATAACCATATTTCCATACTGTGAAAACTTCATTACTTATGCTAATTTGCTCGAAGGATTATTGCAAAAAACTCCATCTCAAAAATCACTGGCTGCTTTTGAACTTTTTTAACCAAAAGCAGAATCATCAACAGGAAAAAAAAATTCAGAATGTTCGCATATGCAGCAAATACGGATTTACGAGGTAGCTGGACGAAAATCTGAAAATGCTGCCATTTTAATGAAGCTGCGCAAAATTTTCCAAAAGCGGGAGAATTTCGCACTCAAAAATCACTAGACGATAAAGTAGAGTGCGATGTTTTCTTCATCAACCGCTGGATATACCGTCAGTAAAGCGAACTAAGTACTGTATGAAGTAACTAAAAATGTGATTACTTAATTTGTCCGGCAACGATTCTTACTTTGTTCATTTAACGTGCTCTGAGCGTTTCTCACCGCTGCAACGACATTCGCTGTGCATGTATTTACCGAACGCGATGCCGTCGACAGATCTTTCAGACGTTCTGACTCGCGATCTGCTTTGACACGTGAGGAGACGAACAGCTGTGCTGTACTGGCCGCGACCTCCTGCGCCGCAACAAGTAAATGTTCAAGTTTCCCTTGACCGGAGACCACACCGTCTGCACTTTGTCTGCAATCAGACATGTCAAACTTAAAAAAAAATCCATAATGAAGTACCGAATCTTGCAGCTTTTCATGACCAAAAGAGAAAATATTACAACCAAACTTAACTCGTCCCGCAGACCAGACTGAATACACGTGAGTGGTATTTCCGGAAAAAAACATTCAAAGAAACATCGACAAGATGTACGCTAACTACATCGTTGATAAACTTGGAAAACAAGCAACCCAAAGTCGAAAGAACTGCTGTGGCTTCGATAATACAGAGATTCTACATAGAAAGACCGTATCTCTAGTGCTCTGAGCTTCGGAATTCAGTATCCGTCCTTAATTCCCCAATCCCTGTCACACTGTTAAAGACTGTCCAAGTTTGGGACCTTTTAATTTCAAATTCCAGCACAAACAGAAATTCTGCCGAAAAGGAAAAAGTGGGAATTTTTAATTTACATTAAAAGCAAAGAAGTACACACAGACATACACACACTCACTCACACACACACACACCCACACGCACACACACATACACACATGTATACACACAACTGATTTTTCGCATACAGTTACAAAATTTACTAACACTAGTACTGTGGCAGCAACTCCAATCGCTCTCGCGGCCGAAAGAAGACCTTCAGTCCACTGATGATTACGTTTATAGAATTCATTTGGATTAACAGTGCCGTGGCCAGCAGCAACGATCTCTTCTTGCATCGCTCGACTTCGCGCAACCAATTGTACAATTGCGGCCATCAGCTGGTTACACGAGTCCAAAATTTTCTCATTCACTTCCAAACTAAACCAATCAAAAATCAATGAAAAACAAAAGCAAGAAATAAACACATTTGCTTCCATAAACTTCCCGTTTTCTTAAATCTTATCCCCAAATCCAATTAGTAACTGGCATCATAAAATATTATGAACCTTACACAAATTCTTTTTTTTTTAAAATATGCCACAAGCGTTGCAATGACGGGGCATACGCAACTGCACAAGCTACTCACTATTCTTTTCCCTGATAATAACGTACAAAGAGCTGATAGCGCCTTCGATTCCCTAACATGTGCCGTACTAATTCACCAAAGAAACACTGATAAATGTTAAAGAGGCCGGTTGCCTTCCCTTCCCCAGATCTAAGCCCTCGATTTTTCTACTTTTTGCCGCACCACACCAGCCAGTTTCTTTGTCTCTTATTAAACTGTTTGCAAAATCTTGTTATTTTGAATTTTTTTTTTGATATTTTGAATATTACAGAGACAGAAGTTTACAACCTAGCGCAATCATTTCAACAAATCATTTGTCTCTTCCTCTTCGCTCCCCCTTCTTTCCCTCTTCAATTTTTTCAGTGAAATTTATGGGGAATAACCGTATGCCAGAGTCTGTTGCCCGGCTTTTCTTTTGCATTTCTTCGATCATTTCCACGGCTCTCTGGATGGCTGCGTCCATACGTTTCATCTCTTGTTCCAGTTCAGCACCAATTGCTTCAGCTGTTATATCGCTTGAACCAACAGGCAAATTCAAGCACATTCTCTCTAGCTCTTCCAAAGATCGCTGCAAATATCCAGTTCTCAGAACAGGCAGTGCAATTCGTTCAAGTTTTGCATGTGCCTACCTCCGCTTTTTATAAAATAAAACTTCTCCTCCAACAATGTTCAAACTGATTTAAGCCTACAGAGAATCGCCAGAGATGTATCTCTTCAACCCAGCTCCAGCATACACAGCTAAGTACAATTGCCCCTTTTCAATATTTCTGAGTAACTTTCGCGTCAAAACTTTATAAAATTGGCCAACGCACGGGCTGCCCGTGCGAAGATGCGTTTTTTGCAGAGTTCCCCGCAG